ATGCTATTTCCCAGGAACTTACTTCTGAAGAGATGATTCTCCAAACTCCCTCTCGGCATAAACTCGTACACCAATAACCGATTCTTGCCTTCCAAGCAATACCCAATCAGCTTAACTAGATTTGGGTGATGAAATTTTCCCAAATAATTAACTTCTGTCTGAAATTCGTATGCAGTTAGTAACAGACACGAACATACAACCGAAAAGGAACATACGAGAGAGAGAGAGAGAGAGAGAGAGAGAGAGAGAGAGAGAGAGAGTATCAAGTAAGCTACATACCAACCACTCCTTGTGGCCTTGGGGAGCTTCAAGCTTAAGCTTCTTGACAGCAACAACAATTCCCGATCCTGGCCTTGTAGCGGCCCATGTGTTTTCATCAATCCATCCTTTGAAAACACAACCAAATCCCCCTTCACCCAACAGACTGTCGGGTCGAAAATTTCTAGTTGCGTTCTTGAGTTCACTGAAAGAGAAAGGCTTCAAATTGGAAGATGACAATATTTCACCTTCTGGTGTTGATGTGGTAAGACTCGATATGTTTTGGTTCCTATCTTCCAATGAGCTAAGAAGATTGGAAGGAACTAATGGATGACATTTCTTGCTTGAACTTCGGGAGATTTCTAATCCATCAAGAAGAACAAACAGAGGAAATCATTGGTTATTGCAAATTTAAATTCATTAACAGAACATCCTATCAAAAGATTACAAAGTTTCTAAAATATCTCAAAAACTTTCGCGTCGCATCGCTTGGGACCCTGTACTTAAGAAAGTTACTTATAAATCTCTAATCGTTTAATTATATGTCTAATACGTCTTGTCGTTAATTAGGTCCATTTAATGCTTTCATTTTAGATTAATGTAACCATCTAATAGGGGCGGAGCCATACATTTCAGAGGTAGGGGGAGAATTTGACCTTCTAATTTTTTAGATGCAATATCTTTCCATTTTAAAAAGTTAGCGCCCTTTGTTCTTTTCTCCACCCTTGCAGCTAATTGTAGGGGGGGATATCAGTG